TTGCAGTTCAAGACTTTCAACAGTATTGCTTTGTCTGTTTGGTGGCTGGTTCAGTGTCACTCTTCGGCGCCGGCTCAATRCRCTTTTTGCAACTTTTCTTAWGTCGGACAAAAATATGAAATAAATACATGGACTGCAGAAGGAGTTTAAGACAGGAAGAAAGTATTCCAGAATAAAGAAAAACGACTTCCAATCGATACAGAGTGAGASGTTTATTAAATCTGTTGTTGCAATGACACCGTAATSAAGAATAACCAATGCGTTATAAACTATGATGGGAATCCAGCAACTTGGGTACGGCAATACGGAGACGAGAACCATTCTTACGGCTGCGTGAGCTCGACGTCTTCGTACATTCCGTTGTTGCKGATTGAAATGGACTTGGATGACTTGAGTTTGGGACAGTCGTCTTATTGTAATAATACTCAGAGCGACAATTACGAAACACAGAATAACACTTGAAATTCCAACAGCTAGCCATAGGAGGTTACCTAAGTCCACTACATGCAACTCATAACCACAAGTCCCATGGCCAATTATAACTGCTTTGTACATATCAACGCAAGCGACTAACATGGGAATCAGCCAAGTTAAGCCGAGTATTGTCACACAWTGTTTAAGTGTGTATGGTCCTGATACTTGAACTGTTTGTTTGGTTGCCCTGAATCGTTCAATGCTGATCACCAATAGAGTASCTAACAATACTCTATATGGGATGTGCTTCAAAAATTTAATGATTTTACAGATTATAAGACCAACGRTACTTTTAGGATATATGCTCCATTTCAAATCAGATAGCCAGTAAATGTTGTCTATGAAATTCACGAGAAGAAAAAGAGCATCYGCCACTGCCATGTTGATGATCAAATAGTGCAAGTTCTTGCGTATTAACATATATTGAATAAGTATGATGACGAAGAGGTTGCCACAAATTCCCAGGACACTGAACAATACAAAAGCAGTGCGTTTAGCAGTTTTCTCTAGATCGCTGTCAGGCTCTTCTATGTAAGCACAGTAACTGTTTCTCAAATCTGTGTTTGAGTTGTTGGTAAGCGAGAATCTTGAATCATTCATCCTTGTGTAGTTTATCTGCTCTCTTTCAGTAAATCAGTGCAATATGCGGTAAAATACTAGTTGCACTGTCTGATATACTTATCATGACGAGGAGTGGATGCGTTGTCCATTCTTCGGGGAGGGAAATGCACACCTGTATGAGAGCATAATACACGACCGGTGTGTCATCCTGTGGGTTGTATTTTCAATGTGAGAAATTAGGACAAACACCTGGCCATTTTGAACAGAAAAACGATGCGAAATTAAATTGGTAATCCGATTATTGTTGCTGRATTCCCAAAACAAAGATTTAAACAATTGCTTTTCATTTCTAATCACGGTAGAGTTAACTACAACCTATAATATTTCTTGAAAAATAAACTTGATTTTCCCATGTTTTTCTGGTGAAGTTTCATGTAAATATTTCTCCGTAAGACCCCCAAGTTGCGAATTGAAGCGAAGAGGATTGTATGTCGCAAAAACACCTTCCTTAACAGCCGATAACAATAAAAAATTACCTCGAAAACATTACTGTATTATTTATCAAATGCAAAAAGATTACAATTCAAATTAGAAGAAGAAAAGCAAAGGCCCGGAGATTTAATTAAATAACTAACAGAATTGTATGGAAATGTACATTGACAGTGTAAATAGATAAATTCTGAGAAAAAGATAAAGTATTCAGTCAGTTAGTACTAATTAGAATAAAAAGACATTACCATCCCAGGTGWAAGAGTTAATACAAACTTTATCCATAAGTAATTAAACTGAAAAATAGTTTGGATTTACTGTGTTTGCATAATTTTCACGTATAGAGAATTTGCAACATCAGTTCCTTTCGCCTGCTGAAACTTGAATTCACTATCTGTCTTTCAGTGTTAGTCTTTTTGAATCTTTTGAATCTTTTTYCAGCTATAATATATTCTACATTTTCATAATGTTTAAGAAGAGCTTGATAATCTCTTAGCAGAGGAGCTTTATATTTTGCTCTTGATGTATAGAGGATGTACTGAAAAAGAGTGAATAAAAAGTTTTCAAAAGTATCACCTTCATAACCCAACCAAACATTTTTGAGGCTATGTTCAGGCAGGTYAATCTGGTTTGAATTACTCAGGCAGTTTTTACAATCCGGATAAAGTTTCTAGTTTCAGTACAAAGTCTTATATCCTATATCAAGTTATCTTTCAGTCTGTCTACCGAGGCAAGTATTTTTCTAATTTATCTGGTATTTCTCCAATTTTATTTCAGATGCAAAGTATGGTCACTTGACAAGAACTTTAATACGTCATTAGTTTATTTTTCAATAAACGAAAAGGTSAAGAATTTAACGATTGAAATTGATAACAGAAATTTGAAGTCCTGGAATAAGACTATATGGATTACCTGTGTATCAAAGGACGCAAGGGCTAACGTCGGTCCATCTTGCAGAAACATGTATTTTGAACTGACAGGTAAGCTTATTCCATGAAGTGCTGTAGAATCGCTATTTATATCAATACTATATTTTGATATCCTTTTTGTTAAAAAGCTTTATTTATTCATTTATTTGTTATTTTTTTAAAAAAGCTCAAGTTATTTACACTTTATCACAAAAGCAATCCAAAGGTAAGGCTGAAGATTTTTGCATACACTAACTTGTACGTTATAAAAAACACCTAGCCCTTTTTCAGTTTGGCAAGCGCACTGCGCCTCTCAGTCTATATGTAATAAAGATTAATAAAGTAAATAAATAAGCAAACTTTGTTTAACGTCCTCAATCCCGCTCAGTTCAACACAGAAGTGTACATCGGTATATTTCCTGGTTCTGACACAACGCAAGAACACAAATCATAAAACAACATAAAGTAGATAAGAATCCCAACTGGCAAGGGGTGAACCAAATGGCTACATTACAGATTTGAATTAATCAAATCGAAGCAAATTCAGTCTCAGTTAGTCGTTAGAGCAGGATTCGAATATGAGATTCCCAGATTACGAGACCAACGCTGTACCCACTTGACCACTAATACTGCCTCGGATCAACACCTTCGACTGTTCAACAGTTCTAAGATTATCCCACTATCCAGGAAAGGCTGTTAGTTTTTTGCTCGTGTCTATTGCCAGAAAATAGCTCGCTCAACACAACGAATATTTAAGGAGAATATTTGAAGTCTTATCTTGCACAAGAATGCACCATTAAGCAACAATCGCTATCTTAAGCAACATATCCCATAGCCCCCTAAATATAATGTTATCATTGCGCATGTTACCATAGTACAAAACCATCCAAAACAAGACCCAACATTGATGAATGGTGGGAGACAATTGATTGTATGGTCCAAAGTATTTTTTCAAAGATTGTAGGAAAGGCTTTAGAAAAAATAGAGATGTTTTAGAAACATCGCTGCTATTAGAGTCAAGTCGATTCCTCTGACCACCCRTCGTTCACTGCCTCATACTAATCAAGTTTCAGAAAAAGATTTTGGGKTTATATTTTTTCAGGCTTAAGTGTTTCCGGGAAAGTTGGACTGGCCGTTGGCATCTTCCTTGGTGCTTTACTTCTAATCGGTGTAGCCATCGTATTGCACCGATGGTCGAAGAAACCGCAAACTAATAGCAACGATAACCAGTATGTAGTTATTGTCACTTCTAAATTTCTATTATCTTTTACGAGACCTGTCTTAGTTATGCAGAAAGCATCAGGCATTAGCCATCTAGTGCTGTGCATTACTTACTTATAGACTAGCAATACTGTAAATGCTCTATACAGATTATGATTTTTCTTCTAAATACTTTCTAAAGTTTGTACAAAAGATGTAAAGCAACATTCATGTTACATAACATGCATCTGTTTTTAGCGGTAGCATCTGTTATGCAGTAAAAAAGAAATTAAAAACTGTTTTTTGTGTGTGTGCTTTGTTCAAATTTGCCATGAAATTCTAATTAGCATAAAGATGTAAAAGAAGAATGTGTCTGAAAAACTGCTGGGAAAGACAACAGGAGATTTTCTTGTCAAAAATGCTAACRTATATTACAGATATGTGGTGGTCATAGTTTCTAATCACATATGAATGTAATGATTCACTGCAGGGACAACCTTCAATATTCTGCGCACACGAATTCATGCTTCCAAATGGAGAGGATGTCGCTTACCGACCTTACCTGTTCAAAGTAAGAATTTCATTTTACATGTAGTCTCTCAGGAACTTATCATCATTGAAAAGTATATTTATTGAAAAGAATTTTTTGGCATTTCCACGAGACTAAATGAATATCTGCAATCGGACAAGCAATGGCTTCAAAACCAGATTTAAATACTCAAGTTAAACATTATAACACTACAAGTAGCATATAGTCTTATGTTTGTACATTTTTTTGTTCTTATTTCCTTCAGTTAACAAGCTGTTTTGTATCATATATTCAGTATGATTGTTATGTATCAACCGTTGTCATTAGATATACGTTCATATAACCACTATGCGATGTCTTGTTTAAAACTTTAAAAGTTGTGTTCTTTTATTAAAAAATCAAATGCAAAATTCCTCTGACTGCAAATTGGACTCGGCCTACGGAATTTTCGTCGTCCAAATATTTCTTAATAATTGGACGAAGAAAAAAAACACAGGAACAAAATRAACAAAAAAGACTGGCGAGTTTTATGGTTCACTCTCACTCCACATAGCATACGACTAGTTAATTCTTAGCAAAGATAAAATCAAAAGTAAATCATTGACAAAGTACCTGAACATTTCTTATTGAATGAAAGTCATTGGTTGATAAATGATGAAACCATATTTGATCAATACCCTAAATCGACTTGATGTCGGCAATTCAATTACAAGCGATTTATCGTTATTCTTTGGCATTTTGTCCGGACAGCGAAGAAAAGGATTGGGAGATAGATGCTGTTCATGTGATGTTCCTTGAGGAAATAGGAAAAGGAGCATTTGGAAAGGTCTTCAAGGTTATAGTTCGGCAGCCTGAACCAGTGACTGAACAAGACATTGTCCTCTCAAGATTAAGAGGAAACTCCAGAGATAGGAAACTAAGCAAGAACAACTTGATTGCAGCAGCAAAGACGTTACATGGTTAGTGTTTATAAGTATCAATTTTTTTTTATTATCGTGTTTTTTAATCTTGCCATAAACCTTGCGAAACAATAGATGCCATGGTAAGATAGCTGCTATTTTTACCGGCAATTTTTGATGTAATGATCCGACGCGTATCAACAGACGACGCTATATCACGCATTGTATTTCCACTTTGCGTATCAACAGACGCTATATCACGCATTGTATTTCCACTTCAGAAATTGCAAATGATGACCAACGACAAGAATTTATAGCAGAAATCAACCTAATGAAGAAACTCGGCAGCCATCAAAATATTGTCAACTTTCTCTACTGCTGCACCACTAGTGAACCTAATTTCCTCATCGTGGAGTATTTACCAAAGGGCGACTTGCTGAAATACTTGAGGACATACAGATATAAGGTAAGAAGAACAACAAGAGAATCTCAATGACAAGAAGAGCAGCCTATATCGAGGAGATTCGCAGCTGGGCCTTTTCGATTGGGCTATTAGCAGAAAATGTTCCGTTTGAAAAANCATGCTTCCAAATGGAGAGGATGTCGCTTACCGACCTTACCTGTTCAAAGTAAGAATTTCATTTTACATGTAGTCTCTCAGGAACTTATCATCATTGAAAAGTATATTTATTGAAAAGAATTTTTTGGCATTTTTCCACGAGACTAAATGAATATCTGCAATCGGACAAGCAATGGCTTCAAAACCAGATTTGCATACTCAAGTTAAACATTATAACACTACAAGTAGCATATAGTCTTATGTTTGTACATTTTTTTGTTCTTATTTCCTTCAGTTAACAAGCTGTTTTGTATCATATATTCAGTATGATTGTTATGTATCAACCGTTGTCATTAGATATACGTTCATATAACCACTATGCGATGTCTTGTTTAAAACTTTAAAAGTTGTGTTCTTTTATTAAAAAATCAAATGCAAAATTCCTCTGACTGCAAATTGGACTCGGCCTACGGAATTTTCGTCGTCCAAATATTTCTTAATAATTGGACGAAGAAAAAAAACACAGGAACAAAATRAACAAAAAAGACTGGCGAGTTTTATGGTTCACTCTCACTCCACATAGCATACGACTAGTTAATTCTTAGCAAAGATAAAATCAAAAGTAAATCATTGACAAAGTACCTGAACATTTCTTATTGAATGAAAGTCATTGGTTGATAAATGATGAAACCATATTTGATCAATACCCTAAATCGACTTGATGTCGGCAATTCAATTACAAGCGATTTATCGTTATTCTTTGGCATTTTGTCCGGACAGCGAAGAAAAGGATTGGGAGATAGATGCTGTTCATGTGATGTTCCTTGAGGAAATAGGAAAAGGAGCATTTGGAAAGGTCTTCAAGGTTATAGTTCGGCAGCCTGAACCAGTGACTGAACAAGAAATTGTCCTCTCAAGATTAAGAGGAAACTCCAGAGATAGGAAACTAAGCAAGAACAACTTGATTGCAGCAGCAAAGACGTTACATGGTTAGTGTTTATAAGTATCAATTTTTTTTTATTATCGTGTTTTTTAATCTTGCCATAAACCTTGCGAAACAATAGATGCCATGGTAAGATAGCTGCTATTTTTACCGGCAATTTTTGATGTAATGATCCGACGCGTATCAACAGACGACGCTATATCACGCATTGTATTTCCACTTTGCGTATCAACAGACGCTATATCACGCATTGTATTTCCACTTCAGAAATTGCAAATGATGACCAACGACAAGAATTTATAGCAGAAATCAACCTAATGAAGAAACTCGGCAGCCATCAAAATATTGTCAACTTTCTCTAYTGCTGCACCACTAGTGAACCTAATTTCCTCATCGTGGAGTATTTACCAAAGGGCGACTTGCTGAAATACTTGAGGACATACAGATATAAGGTAAGAAGAACAACAAGAGAATCTCAATGACAAGAAGAGCAGCCTATATCGAGGAGATTCGCAGCTGGGCCTTTTCGATTGGGCTATTAGCAGAAAATGTTCCGTTTGAAAAAAAAATCACCGAGAAAAAAAACACCGAACAACCTTACAAAACAATGCATACTTGTTCTCATTCATTGTTTATCAACTGATTTGACTTTTTTTAAAGTGCACATGACACCTTTTAGAAAAACACTTTTATCCGAAAGGTAACACGCTGCCAASTACTTCTGTGAADAAAGAAATAGATTTTGAATTGTATTTTCTGAGTTATAGACATTTGAAAATTGRAAAWGCAAATGAAGTGACGTCAWCTAAGGAATTGATCCAGACTTTTTACATTGTTTGCGCTATGCTATTCTTGGCTGAAGAGCTCAAATCATCAATCATAATAATAATTGAGAGCTGAAAATGCGTTTTCCAATGTAACAAAAAGAATAACGTTCTCTTWMATGATTTTGTATATTAAATCATTCCTTAGTAGACGTCACTTCATTTGCATTTTCCAAGTTTCAATTGCCTATAACTTAGAAAATACAATTTAAAATCAATTTCTTTCTTCACAGATGAACTTAGCAGCATTTTCTCTTTTGGATGAGAATGAATTTCTAATGGTGTYATGTGCACTYTAAAGTTATCAAGTACRTAGGGTCCCAAATACGTAATTTCACGAGGCGCATAAAAGAAAACTATCAAACAAAACAATTGCAACACAATTACAGATTAATCTGCTTAACTCTTTCAGCTCAAATATTGTGAAAATGAAAAAGTCAATGTGAGATGTTATCAAAATGTAGACGCATTAGCTTTACCTAAAAACCTTCAAGCGGCAAATTCGAGGAGAGATAGTGGTAGTTCAGGTACAAAGCCACAGGTACGCTATTTCTCATATTATGTTGTTTTCAACTAAAACTTCATATCTCACATTGTAATACTCTCACGCTGATTGACTGTCGATCGAACAGGGAGAATTCAGCGTGGAATTACCCTGTTACACAGGTAGCCCGCAATCGTAAGCCCGATATTATCTTTATCATGACCAGTGTTTTCTTAGTTATCGTTTTTTGAGGGGGGAAACACATGGACATAGACCATATGAATAAGGGCGTGGCTATCGTAACGCCTTAGTTTATAAGTTGTTTGATATATATGATATCAAAGAGGCAAGATTTTGCTGTAACTCCGAGTTTCGTGCTACGCACTCATCAGACAGTATTTAATCTTAAGTTGTTTGATATATCATTGCTACCCATTAAAAAAACATATTATAATGAGTAAGATCTGAAAGTTTCAATACTCTAACATTTATGGACCGCAAATTACAGGTGTTTGAAATTGCAAAGGTTTGAGTGAAAAGCAGTATCGAGGCCTTACCAACCTCGTTTTCATGTTTTTGGTGCGCTTCAAGTCCTCCTAGCTCTGCCAATATTTTGCCATTTGAAACTTAAATTGCGCCAAATCACTAGTTTAAATATACTTTTTCTTACTGTAAGAACAGTTTGTTAAAAACATGGGCCGTTTAAGGTGCTCATTCCCAGTCTTCTGCTCGTTTTTCATATGKTCAATAGGTTCCCGATTCACGGGAGAGGGAGCCGAGGATTCGSCTTGGAATTGGCCAGTCAAAAGACCGCGTTTGTTTTGATTTTGATTTACCGATTAAATACTGATACTTCACTAAGCTTATATACATCAGAATTACTATTTAGTATTGTATTACTATTTATAATGATACTTCATTAAGCTTATATACATCAGAAATACTATTTAGGTATGTTCAAATTCTTAACACTAATACTTATAACTAGTCAGCAGTAGTTTTCCTTGGCTTGTCTCGAATTAGACATATGAGTCTATGAAGTACATTGTCAAAAAGTCCGATAGTCATTTGRATGCATGTAATTCATCGTAAGCAAGATCGACCAARTCGGGTTCGTTCACGTCATGACCAGAAAATCCGGACACACGAGATTGGTTGTTAAATTTTACAAAGAAATGGCTAAACGGTTAAAAAACGTTATTTTGAGAATAACATTTGATCTGTTTTACCTTGAACGTTTTCCAAGATGAAATCGTGGAGGGAAACTATTCTTGATTCCACTGTAGGAAAGCCAAATAACACGAAAGTTTTAAGAGAGCCCTTTTTGACAATTTGTTTTTGGCCACAAACTTCCTTTCGTCGTCTCCTTTGCCCTTGTATTTCATGGTGGAAATTTCACTGTAGTTTTCCGTGTTTTCTTACAGAGTGATTTGAGAAAATGCGACTAGCCAATCAGCGCAAAGCCGACAAGCTTATGTTGTAAACATAACCCTCCGACGGGAGGAATTTGCACRBSAAAACTCGAYCCAGTGKAGWRGGYTGCCTGTCATTTTATTCTATCCGAAAAATCAAAGCTAAAACGCAAAGAGAAATTGAAAATCTTTATAAAATAGCTTTTAAATTGTCAATCAAATATTTATTGTTATCAAGAAATAGAACTTTATCTTGAAAATGAAATTACAAATGATTTTTTTCTTTAATACCACGAGACTCCCCTCCCTGATAAAAATAATTGGTCTGTGTTCTACGCAGGTTCTCCATACACCTTTACCATAATGGCTGCAATTGTGTTTTTCCAAAATAAAATAGATATGAATATTTTGYYACTRTWACATCAARGAACTATCAGAAATAAACGTTTTTGGAACGTTTTAGAACTCTGGACAAAATAGGAAAAAAATATGGTGAAATGAAAATACAAAGAAATGTATGTAATTTTCCACCAATCTATCTGTCTATTTGTTTCTGAATATGAAATATGTGAAAACTTTGTCACTGTCATGTGAAGGAACTACCAGAAATATACATTTTTGGAAAGTTTTACAGTCCTGGATAAAATGTGAACAAATTTATGGCCAAATGAAAATGCAAGAAATGTATGTAATTTTCAGCCAAGGCCTTTATAGCCTCGTTCTGGTGTTATGATATATTTTAAATCCTTATAACTTCACCAGTATCTACAACATCACTGRAAGAGCTAGAGCAGCTTAGCTCCACGTATTCCAATAGAGTTAAAGCCTTTGTTATTTTTGGTACAAACAACTGTCGTAGTTCATCCGTTATGGTCGTWATGTAACAGGTCASTTACACATTTACTRGCTTTGACCTTACAACGAGAGCTAGAACGGTGACTGGGGTTTTTCGTGTAATGTCTTGATAGCGACTGTTTATGTCGAAACGACTCAAAACAAAATTCCATCGTGAAAAAAGTTCGACTAAATTCCCTTCTGAAAAACACGTGTGTATTTAAGGTGGAAAATGCATTCAATTCTTAAAGGTTTAATTCTATAATCATTTTGTTTAGTTAAATAAATTTAACACGACTTGTACTGTTTTTCTGAATGAAAGGCGAGCTGCGGGTTTTCCCTTTTCTTTATTTACACTTTCAAATATGACCGCTTAACAAAAATGCACGAGCTCACGGGCTTACAACCTTGGCGAATTCATATGCAGGCCTGGTCGCAAATCAATCACCCAGCTTACATGTCACTGATGTCTCAAATATCATTTCTCAAATTCCACACATTGAAACGATAAACAGTGTGCATTTTGGTACTAGAAATCGTAGAATTTGAAAACAGTAACTTGACGGTGGTATACATGTTGTGTTGCATTAATTGAATGCATGAATAACTTTTTTATTGTAATTGTCTATTGTATTTTGTATTACAAAGAATTTCTGATGACATAGAGTACAAACACTAAAACTGTGCAACATAAATACCACTAAATACTACTAAATTATGCTAATTCTATTGTTTTCTATTGTT